GGTGTAAAAGCGGGAGGAGGCTGGTGCAGCGCCGACACGTCTCGCCTCGGTGCTCCGAGCCCTGGTTCTCCCTGGCGCTCGAGGGACACGGTTTGACTCAGAAGCTCCTGCTCTCTTAGCAGTTCTTATACATCTTCCAGCAGTACTGCATGTGAGTTACTTTAAAGCAGGATAATAGGGGAGTTTTGTGTGTATGTGTCCACGGACAAGACGCAGGCATTTTTTGTTGCGGCTGAGCAGTGAATTAAAGGCAGAATTAAAAAGAGCAACAGTCACTTTCACCTATTTTATGCTTGGACATGTTTATACGTACATATCTTTTTATGTGTAACACGTTATGTTGGTGAAAGTTTGAGACTTCTCAGGCTATAAAGAGTGAAGGAAATCAAAATGAGCAAAGCGGTTTTAGTTCTCCTTGCTCTGTGTGCGAGCAATTAAAGACTATGCACACATATAATTTGAGCCTATTGGTAACTGCAAAAATTAAAAATGCACTGTTTGCATACCTCTGCAGCTTTCGCGTGCTACCAAGTTGTCACCTCCACATGCAGTAAAAGTCCTGGCGTTTTCTCTTGTATGTCTTTCTTTTTCACATGTTTCAGTTAACAGAATCTTCACAAGTCTCTTTTCCCTTTCCTGTTTAGAGATATTGTCTTTTTAGAGCAAAAATGTGTTACTAAATTATTGTTTGTGTTTAAGCTAGGCTCATAATTTTCTTTTAGGCATTATCTCCTGGTGCTTAATCAAGTTTTGAGAATATTTCTATTTCTAAAAAAAAAAATAGCATCCGTTTTCACCTGTTAGAGGTCAGAAGGACTTGATACTCAGTCTTATAATTTTAATCCTTCCCTGCAAGGTTGTTTTGATGTGTTGCAAGTAATTTATGTAAAGAAATATATTTTAACGTTGACATTAGCTACATCAAAAGGCAAATTTGCTGTAGTGACTCCATCAATTAAAAAGTACTTGCCTACAGTAACATGACCTTGCAAATGACATCGATAGTTAATATGATCGTTAGTCATTAACAGTATTATTATATTCAAAAATGTAAATTTGTTGCCAGAATCCACATATTTACCGCTTTTCACGTTTCATTCTTCAGTGTTTTCACATCTTGTATAAAATGGTCAATTAATTTTCATCCTTTAATCTTGTACAGAAATATTTTTAATTTGTTTAGTTTGGTCAAGTGGACTTAAGAAAAATAAAAGTTTTTTCTTTTTCTGTTTTTTTTTTCTTTTAGCAAATTTTTCTTTAATTCTGTAGTAACAGAATGTAAACTACAATAGTTGAAATAATCTCTGGAGTGTACTCATTATTCAAATTTACCAATAATCAGAAAAAAGTCTCGTACTTGTCCCACAAATTTAGGCTGAAGGTTTCTCATACGACAAAGACCTAGTAAGGAATAACTCTCGTTAATACGTTTTTGTTTTCTTCTAGATTTGTCGGCATTAATGCATCTGACATAAACTACTCAGCTGGTCGATATGACGCTTCAGTTAAACCCCCATTTGATATAGGTTTTGAAGGTGTCGGTGAAGTGGTAGCGTTAGGACTCAGTGCTAGTGCTGATTATACAGTGGGTCAAGCTGTGGCCTACGTGAAAGCAGGTTCCTTTGCTGAATACACAGTTGTGCCTGCCAGACAAGCAGTTCCTCTACCCTCTGTGAAACCTGAGTTTCTTACTTTAATGGTGAGTGGCGCTACCGCATACATCAGTTTGAAAGAGCTGGGAGAGCTGTCTGAAGGCAAGAAGGTTCTGGTGACAGCAGCGGCTGGAGGAACGGGCCAGTTCGCTGTGCAGCTTGCAAAGAAGGCAAAATGCCATGTAATTGGAACCTGCTCCAGTGATGAAAAAGGTGGTTTTCTGAAATCCATCGGCTGTGACCGTACGATCAACTATAAAACTGAAAATGTTGAATCTGTTCTTAGGAACCACTACCCCGAAGGTGTGGATATAGTGTATGAATCAGTTGGGGGAAAGATGTTTGACTTGGCTCTTAACTCCTTGGCTACCAAAGGGCGTCTGATAGTTATTGGGTTTATCGCTGGCTACCAACACCCTACTGGCCTCACGCCCATTAAAGCAGAGTCATTGCCAGCAAAACTATTGAAGAAGTCTGCCAGCATCCGGGGTTTCTTCTTGAACCATTACCTTTCTGAATACAAAATGGCTCTGAAACACTTGCTCGAGATGTGTGAAAGAGGAGACCTGGTTTGTGAGGTGGACTTTGGAGACATGTCTCCGGAGGGCAAGTTCACTGGCTTGGAGTCTGTATTCCGTGCTGTAGATTATATGTACATGGGAAAAAACATTGGAAAGATTGTAGTTGAATTACCTCACTCTGTCAACAGTAAGCTGTAAAAACAGAACAATGATATAAATCAGAGGAGAGAAAATGGGCACTTTATGCTACAGAATTACTAGGAACAATTTCTTTTTTTAAGCTTAGTAATGGATATTATATTAAAAACAGCATTAAGGTGTTAATAAAAAATTTTATGGTTTTTTTTTTCTTTTCTTAAAAATGCTTGAATTGGTGGCGGGAGCATGGACTTAATGGGACTGTGTTTGAGTCTGTCACTTAGGCTAGTGTGAGACACGAACATTGTTCTTGACAGAATAAGTCTTGATGCAGAGGCAGATTTAGTCTGTCAGACTGGTTTGATAAGACTTTATATATAGTTCAGCTCGGAAAAAAAAATTCTTTCAGCAATTTTGATTCCCTGATTAAAAATAAAAATGTTAGAACAAGACTAAGTAAAGAGTTGTATCTTGCGGTTGTTTTATTAATCTCTTCAAGTTTCTGGAAAAAAAAAATGCTGTTGATTTTTTGTCATGAACACAATAATCCTAATTTGGTTGCGCTATGGATCATAGTAATATTCCTTGACTGGTTACACAGAGAAATTTATCCTCTAGTTCTGACATGTCAGTAATATTAAGAAAAACAACTTGAGAATTTTTTTTTAATTATGTCTTTCGTAACTATAAACAACAGTGCAATTTTCTTTTAAATCTTTAACTACAAGTTGCAACATAATCTCCTGTTCTTGCCTTTTCATTTGCTACTGTTGCTGTTTGCTGTCAGGTCTCCCCTTTGGTCAATATTACAAAGTTACTCGAGTGGGGTTTTGAGCCATGTTCACACCTGTTCAGGTCCTGTGTATTTTATGAAGATTTAATAAAGTTTAAAAAGCTGTTTAAATATTTGTGGCATTTATTCATATTTATACATATTTTGCTGACTAGCTCCTTTGTAGATAATCTCTGTGTTGTAGCATTTTTTGACTGATGGTTCTTGATGTGGCTTGCCATAATCAGGCTGCTACTTCTACTTTTACGGAATATTGCTTCTGCAGAAGCCCTGTTGCAAACAGTAAGACCATTTTAAATCTACAGTCACAGTACTTCGTACACATATGGATGCTCAGCCATAGATTAACTAGTAGGTGCACTTAAAAGGTTTGGTAAAGTTTTGAAAATTCTTCCTCATTTAATAGATATTATTAAGGGTACGCAGAATGGGAATTCCAGCAAGAAGTGTAAGATTTTCCAGGACAATAAAATACTTCAAACTATGCTTGTTCTGCATCTATTTTTCCATAGCAAATGTTTAAGATCTTAAAGTCTGATTTGGCCACATCTTTTGAAATTTTTAGACATTTATATGCAGTTGGAGAGATGGAAATTTCCTAAGATCGTATATCTAATAATATACATAACGACTGACAGATACTGTCTCGGGGTTGAAGGATAAAATCCAGGATAAACTTAATCTTTGGGCATTATTCAGGACTGACTACATGGCAATTTAAAAAGTAACATGTACAAAAATCTTATATTTTACATATATTTTCTACAGGCAGTAGAAAAAGTATTTAGCACATTCTTACTGTAATTTTTTAGTGTGCGTGTGTCATTAACATCCTAAAGAATTGCATATAACAAAGAACTGTCCCCTTTTTTGGGCTGTGTGTGACTACCAGGCTTAGTCCCTCTTTGGAGGATTCTGAGGAAAGGCAGAAAGGCTTGAGTCTTTTTAACCATTTCTCTTTTACTCAAGCTGAGCATCAAACCACTAACATTTTTGGTTTTGCCAAGATGTGCTGTTAAAAGCATGCTTCCTCTTTGCCCTCTAGTATTACAAATACTGCAGTGTTTCGTGTGTTTTGCATAATTAGAAAGGTGTATTGGACTTCCAGCTGGGCACTAGAAAGATGCAAACATTCAAGGACCATACAGGATAAGAGTATACAGAGTTCTTACTGTTTTATTCCTAGGCCCTGTTTTCATAGTCAGAGAAAAAACAGTGCCCTCGGTCAATACAAGCTAAAAAAAATTAAAAAGGCTGTTTGGGATATACTAGGGCAAAACAAAAATAGAAAGATTACACTTGGTTACATATGTGATACTCACAGGAGAGTTGCGTGGGTAAAAATTTTTCAAATTAAGTTCCTGCAATCAAGTGCCAAAACCCATCCAAGAGGTGTTGATCACTCACTGCCAGTTCAATAGGTATAGGTGTTTCCAAGGCAGTGAATTCCAAACGTCTTTGTTGTAAAGAATTCTTCTTGAAACAGGATTCTGTTCGAACATACAGCATTCTACTTTCTTTATAATATGTTACTTTATATATAAACATCGAGTAATGCAACTGCCCCAGGCTCTTTCACTGGTCAAAATAAGGCGAGGGAGGAAGCTTTGGAAGGTTTATATATATATATTCAGATACGGCATTTTGTTGATTTTAATTTTGGCTTCAGGCTTATTATTTAGCACTTTCATACTGATTACAGGATTAATTAGACTTTAAATTTGTTATATGCAGAATTCGTATGGCAAGTGTACTAATTTCATAGCCCTTTTGGTGTCTGGGTTGGGCTATGGCCATTGGGCTTGTCCTTCCCATCAAATGCCTCTGTTAAGCTAAAGGGGTAACTCAGTATATACGTGATTTCTCTTCCATGAATGAATCCAGAGTGAAGAAGTAATTTTTTGTTTTTAAAGATATGATTTTTATTGTTTAGATTGCTGAAAGAGAGCATTATTGACAGGGAGAGGGTGAAAAAGTATTTCTGGAACACACAGATAAGGCTTCTCTGCCGAGATTCATAATAATTTTCGGTTTGCAGGGTGAAGAAAAGCCAACTTATTTTTATTTAAAAGTATATTCTGCAAACTTACAGTTATGGGGGCAGGGCGGACTTTTAATAAGTAAGCTATGATGGATTTAAATAATGTTTAAATATTAGATGGATAGGAAAATGTATGTGGCATGCACACACTGAGAGGTTTAAATGATGATAGGACATCGAACATACAAGGAAAAGAAATACTGTAGAGTCACAGCAAGGGATTAATAACAATACACTTAATATGCTTGCAAAAAAGGTGTATTAAAAGCTGTGTGCACAGTGGGGACTTAAATGATTAAAAATAATAATGCATTTGCCTGGGAAGTACTAAGTATACTATATGTAGAGAGCAGGGATTTAAATAATAATACTATTAATAATAGCAGCTCATTGAGATGTGGTTGCTAGCACTACATCCTAATTTTACCTTTCTAAATGAATTTGCTACAGAGGAATCTGGCATTGTTTGCTAAGGCTAATAACAGAATTTCCCTTTCCTACACACATATGCTTCCATGGAAAAACAACAAAGAACTAGATGAAGAGCTGGCTTTTTTCCTGAGTCTGTCACATGTGTGCATACGCGCGCACGCGCACACGGACACACACGTACTCACTCTCTCCTGGCCTGCAACCCTCAGCACATTTTACAGATATGCTTCCTACTTAATTGCTATGCTGGAATCTCCTAATACCTTTCTGAATTTAGACTTCTGCCAAGCAATAGTTTGCTGTGTATTTGTACATGTGCATATACAGATACATGTAATGTATGTGTTTAATAAGTGGATGTGAATAACTGCTGTGTCATGTAAATACAAATAATTACAGTCTCTCAAGGAAAAGTTTGCAGTAGTGTTTGTGATTATTATGTATATTCCTACTTCTGTCTGAGGAGTAAAGAAATTTCTCTGCTGAATAGCTGTTAGTATCTATTTTACAAGATTTACTCATTTTCAGGTACCTAATGTAGCTGCTAGCATGCATGCACGACAATACAATTTATATGGTAAATGGAACCAAATAATGGCTTCACTGAATGTTATGGCTGCACTGAAGGGAAATGTCACGGTAAATAGCTGCCAAATTATGGATCATGCCGAAGTGTCACAACTGCACTAAAGACAAATAGCACTAGAGGCTATTGCCACTGTGACGCTTTTGAGTTATGAAGAAGAGGAGCAGCCTGATGTGAGCCTCTTTGTGTCCTCATTATAGCAAAGGGTTACTGGTGCAGCGTACAAGAAAACCTAGTCCTACGTGGTGGCTAGTTATTAATCTGTTCTTTTCGAATCTAACAGCTGTAGCAAACCAGAAAATCTTTTCCTTGCTGTATGAATACATACACACATACACACACACACACACACACACACAAAGAAAGAAAAACTTGCAGGTTTTATGAATGTAAATGTGTACGGGAAATGACTGGTAATGGAAAAATGTTGTAATAAAATAATCTAATCAAAGAATATTATTAAATTTAACATCGTATGTGTCTGAAAGCTTTAGTTTCTTCTTATGCAGATAGATGTGTGAAATATAAGCAATAATGCACTTTCTCTCTTTGTAAAGACTTGAGTAGTAAGGACATTACCAACTAAATTGCTTCTTCTAAACTGAAGTGTGTCCCGGTTTCTTTCATTTTAATGGGAGGGTAATAAAGATGAAAGACTAACATTTTAACTGATGGATCCCTTAAGCTACAGAATCGAAATTTATTATGTTTTGAGGGAATATGCTAAATCCTGAAATGTGGAAAGAAGCAGGGAAATCCCAGGTAAAATAAAAGCAAAGTAACCTTTTTTTTATTACATACTTTTATGGATGGAAAAATACATACTGCTCTTACCTGAGTTGAGAAAACAATATTGGTCTCTCTTTGGGCAAAAAAAAAAGGAAGGGGGAAGTATTTGGTGGGGTGGGAAAGAGATTTGGAAATGGAGGGCCATCACTCAGCAAGTGGTCTCTTCTTTCTAGGATCGCTTTTCAGACCCTGCCTGCAGTGTTCAGGGAAGTGAGTTTGATGCTCTGCACACCATTGTACGCGCCACAAACGTACCATCCATAATATAGCACAATTGTCGGCTGCTGTTTTACAGAGGGGCCGGGGCTGAACAATCATGGTGGATAAATTACTTTTCTATTCTACAGCAAGTGGCCTTCCTACCATGTGAAGCTTAAGGTCACTGGCAGGGCAGCGAGGGGGAAGCTTATATATTAGTTAACTCTAATGCACTAATAGTGTTCAGATAGAGGCACTATACCAATTAATTATGGTTAGGCTTGTTCTTTGAGATAGGGGTGATGACTTGAAGACTTAGGGAGTTGAGATATGTGTATACGTGCATGTATATATATGTATTTCGCTTTCACGCTACTCCCCTTCTTGCTGTAATATTCCTGTAAGTAACTTGCTTTTCTTTATTCTTTAGTACTTGCATTAAAGCCTTCAATATTCATCATTGCAGGTATCCAGATTTCAGAAATAGGAAAATATTTTTTAAATATTTTTAAACTGTAGCAACACATTCTGCTCACAATTTTTACAGTGTAGTCTGTAGGGAGAGGAAGAAAAACCTGTCAAAAATTAGGTGGAACATCCTTGAATGGCAATTAGCATGCCCAGAATTTATTTTATGTACAACGCAGTGGCAAGTAGCTGCTTCTTATTAAATGAAAATCCTGTATTATGTACTTCAGGAACATTCCAACTAATGAGTATGTAATGTC